ATAAACTAAATCTTTTTTTTTTGGATTTGGAATTTTTCTTTTTTTTTTTTAAAGAAAGACTTGTAAAGAAGAAAGAAAGTATTTTTTTTAATCTTGATATTTTTTGGAATTTTGAAAGAAAACTTCTAAAGAAGAAAAGAAATTTTTTTGATTTTTGGGCTTTTATTTTGAATTTATGAAAGAAAGACTTCTAGGAAAGCAAAATCACTGCCATTCAGGACTCCAAGAATATTGCTACCCTTAGACTGGATGAACTGATTGGAAACTTAACTGCCTATGAAATGAGGAGACAAACCATGAAGATGGATACCCCCAAAAAGGAGAGAAGCTTGGCTTTCAGAATTGCTGAAGGTGCAGATTTGGAAGATGATGAAGTAGCTATGATCACTAGGGATTTCAAGAAGTACTTGATGAGAGGAAAGGGTTCTTCAAGAGNGCTGGATCCGCTGGAAATAAACCAACCTGAGTCATGGGGTCCATGAACCGCAGCATACGGCCCATGACCTCCTGGAAACCCGGTGTTGTCATGAAGTTTGCTGGGGTAGACTCAGATGCGGGTACCTTGCCCTGCTCCTAAATGATAGGATCTCCCGCAGGATCCGCTGGTGGTGCTACTGGAATAGCTCTGGGACGCCCTTGTCCCCTACCTCGGGCCGGTGCCCTCCCCCTGCCTCTGCCTCGGCCTCTAGCAACGGGGGGAGCAGCTTCTCCCGGGTCTAGAACATCGGCCGTGTGTGTCCTCACCATCTGTGAGAGAATAAAAGAGGGAAATTTAGTACACCAACTACTGCACGATAGGAAATGAAGAAAGAGTAATTTCCTAACACCTTATAGCCTCTCGAAGATAAATACAGACGTGTCCGTACCGATCCGCAAGACTTTACTAGGTTTGCCCATGACTTGTGAGACCTACGTGAACCTAGTGCTCTGACACCATGTTGTGACGACCCAATTTCACCTCAGGTCGTGATGGCGCCCAACACCGTTGTCGTGCAAGCCAACGCGGAAAATATTAATAAGTTTCAGTTTTACTTTTCACAAACCAGTTACCAGAATCTCTAAGTTTGAATTTAGAACAACGATAATTAACATCGCACCATAATAATTATACAATCCCAACACAAAATAGCGTACTAATGTGTGTGCCAAGACCTGGTGTCACAAGTATGTGGGCATCTAGTAGAATATACAAGAATAAATCTATCCTACTGTCTGAAATAGAATAGACATCCAAAAGTAAAGAAAGACTCCATCGGGCTGCTGAACGGCGTAGGAAGGGGGCAGCTCACCGTGGAATCTCGGGTCGGATCAAGAGTATGCACCAGCCTGGTAACTAGATGTACCTGTCACACCTCCTTTTTTACCACCCCGAGAGGTGATATAAGGGAGTTTTTCCAATTAAAGTGACATTATTCGAAATGGGATTATTTGTTTAATTTTTCAGAGTCGCCACTTGGAATAGTTTAATTGGTGTTCCAAGTCACCGGTTTATTTTTTAATCCCAAATCGAGGAAATTCGACTTTCATTTTTGAAGTCTGCGAACCAGAAATTCTACGTAAGGAATTCTGTTAACCCGGGAGAAGGTGTTAGGTATTCCCGGGTTCCGTGGTTCTAGCACGGTCGCTTAAACTGTTAAAATTGGCCTAATTATCTGATTTATTACATGTTTTAAACCTATTGTGCATTTTTAGCTTATTAACCGCTTTTAATATTTCGGGAAAATTCAAGGTTATTTAAAACACATCGTAAGCCACGCTACATGAAATGCACCCGCGGTTCACAACACGTTCTATTTAACCTCGTCGGAAATTAGAATCGGGTCACATGAAATGCACACCCGGATTTATAACATGTTTATTTCTACTATCATTATTCAAAATTATGGTAGGGTCAAAAGGTTATTTGGGTCAAGTCCGGTTTTTTCTTGGGCTGGGTAAGGAGATGGGCTAGTTTAAGTGAAGAAAGGGTGTATAAAGATTTGGGCTCACTCATTACATGGCCCAATTTCGAATTTAAGACCAAGCTTTTCAATTTCCTTTTCTTTTTGTTTTCTTTTCTTTCTTTAATTAATTAAAAATCTAAATTAAATTCCTAAATCAATTCAAATTGTAAAATTAAGCTAATTATCTAACTATAATATTTATAAAAATTAATTGATCCTAAATTTAAAGAGAAAACTTAATAATCCAAAATTAAAAGCTAAGAATGTAAAAATGAGCCATTTTTGTAATTTTTATTTTTAATAAAGCAATTAATTAATTAATTAATCCTAAAATGTGAATACAAAATCTAAACGCAAAGCATGATATTTTTGGTATTTTTCATGATTCTAATAAAAGTAAACATGCAGAGAAATGCAAACAATTAACAAAATCCTATAAAATTACAAACAATTGGGGAAAAACCTATTTCTTTAATTTGTAGGAGTATTTCACATAGGGCAAAAATCACGTGCTCACAGTACCTGCCTCAAATCCTGTACAATTAAGCACAGAAGTGTAGTATGAGTACATAAACAATATGTACCCAGTAAGTATCCTGTCTAATCTCGAAGAAGTAGAGACGAGAGGTCGACTTGACACTTACTAGGGTCAAATAATATGAGGAAAGCGTTATACTAAGCATGGAACGCTCAAATAATTAACAACTTATAGCAAGAAGTAATGGGTCATTTCCTAGATAATATCACAGTTAGCCATTTACATTTCAGGACATATAAACAAGTTTAGTCCACAGCAATATACCGAGCAAGAAGCATACGCAAGTAGTGCCGAGGTCGTACGGCCCAATCCAACATAAAAGTAAAGTGTACACTGCCGGAGGGTCGAACGGCACGAACCATAGATGCATCTATTACCCCGCTCGCGAATCATACATGCGACGCGGTCAAATGTAATTAAGCACAACAAAAAGGCAAACAAGAATATAGCAGGGAAGCAATTACCACAGAAATGTCAGCTCCTCTTTAAAAGATCAAGAAAGTGATGTTTCTCATATTAATTCATTTACCACATTCAACATGGTTTAAGCAATCCAAATTAACCATAGAGTCACAAGAATATCACATAAAAGTATGCTTTTGGGTCCTAGACTACCCGGATTTAAGCATAATAGTATCTACGCACGGACTCTCGTCACCTAGTGCGTACGTGTCCCCCGCATTTAGTGACAAATTATTCAATTATTACACCTATGGGGACAATTCCCTCTTACAAGGTTAGATAGGAGACTCACCTCGCTCCAAAGCGTACTTCCAATGTCAAGAACGTGCTCAAATCCTCAATTTGGAGCCGAACGATCCAAAACTAATTAAATGAGACAGGAACTAGTCAATACAAGTTCAAGAGTTCGCATTTTAATTACTAAAGTAATTTTTCGACCTTAAACACAAGTTTCCTAAAATTCGAACCCAGGCCCACCTGCCCAGATTCCGAAATTTTTCGAAGAAAGTTGTTCTCTATAGCCTAAGGATCAACAATATATGATTTCTACTTCATTCCATAACAAATTTCATGGTGAAATCTAAATTTTATCAAAACCCTAGGTTTTGCTCTAATCCCATGATTTTCCCTAATTTTTGTGTGTTAATCTACCCAAGACTCAAGTATTAAACTTAGAAATAAATAGGATGAACTTACCTCAAGATGCTAGGTGAAAGTCCCCTCCCAAGAGCTCCAAAATCGCCCAATGAATGAGTGAAAGTGAGCAAAAATGGCCTAGAGCCCGTAATAAATGAAGCTCATTGCTTTAGTGATTTCCGCATCTGCGGTCCTGGGCCGCACCTGCGGCCACCGCATCTGCGGAAAGGCGTCCGCTTCTGCGGAAACTCAACTGGGCCGCTGGGCCGCATCTGCGAGATACAAGCCGCTTTTGCGGCTCCGCTTCTGCAGAAAACTATCCGCTTATGCGGCTTTGGGCCTGGCCTGGCTTGGCCGCATCTACGAGAGGAAGACCGCTTCTACGGTCTCGCACCTGCGGCTGACCAACCGCAGGTGCGGTTATGACAGATAGCTGGGAGCTTCAGCTCCTTCCCAAAATTTACAACTTCACTCGAGCCTCGCCCGATTGACGCTCGGGGCCCTCGTGCCCCGCCCGAACATACCGACAAGTTTGAAATCATAAAGCGGACTCGCGCGAACCCTTGGAACGCCCGAAACAACGCTAAATCTAAGAATCACCCCCTAAAACCAATTGAATCAAACTTATGAACTTCAAGTTCTTCAATTCACTTCTAATGCGCCGAAACGTACTTAAACTACTCGGACTGACACCAAATTTTGCAGGCAAGTCTTAAATGTTATATAGGACCTGTACCGGGCTCCGGAATCAACATACGGACCCGATACCAACATGATCAAGCATTATTCAACTTCATTAAATCCTTAGAATTTCCAGTTTAACAATTTCTAACAAAAATTCATTACTCGGACTAGGACCTCGGAATTCGATTACGGGCATACGCCCAGGTCCCATATTTCCTACGGACCCTCCGGGACCGTCAAAACACGAGTCCGGGTCCGTTTACTAAAAATGTTGACCAAAGTCAAACTTAGCCTTTTAAGGAAATCTTAAGGAATCAAGTGTGCCTATTTCAACCCAAACTCTTCCAAATCCCGAACCAACCATCCCCGCAGGTCGTAAATTAGTTAAAGCAAGAGCGGAAAGTCTTATTTAGGGGAACGGGATTCTAAAAAGCGAAACAACCAGTCGGGTCGTTACACTACACTAAGCAAATAAATCAAGCATTCCACGTGATTACGATAGTTTAATATGACCACATGTATCCTATTTTGGCATATAACTAGCTTAACAATTTTGGTAAAAGTAATATAGTTTAACTGGGAAAAGGTTCTCAAAAGAACTGTAATTATATTTACATAGGTGTCCAAAATATGCGTTTTGACCAATTTGAAGTACTTAATTGTAAAATTATGAAATTGAAAGTCTAGATCTGAAACGACGTCGCTTCTCCAATTCTTCTCGCCTTTATCTTCTTGCATTGGTTGTCGTCCTCATAGCGACACTGCAATTTTTGAGAATGGCGAAAGGGAAGAAAGAGTTGCTAGCGTCAGCACCGTGGAGGGTAGAGGCAGAACAAGATGACAAATTCAAAGACGCAAGGCTCAAAGTCACTAGCCAACCTGGTCAAACGGCGACTATGCACGTCCCTGGTAAAAAATCCGTGAAATCCATTGTTAATGAAACTGATGATTCTCTTGAAATTGACCCTGAACTTCGTTACAGCTTCCAACGTAACTTCCAGGTCCCTCTCTCTCTCTCTCTGGCCTCTGTTTTATGTTGATATGTACAGATAGGTTACGGCCAGTGTATAATTTATATAGCCGGCACTAAGCTTAAGATGAATTGGTAGAACTAATAGCAGAAAAATCAATGACCGGGACAAGTTATCCCAATGTTGAGCACGGCATTTTCTATCATGAAGACTATTATGGCACTTGACTTAGGTCTTCTAGTTAAAAGATAGAGAGCTGAATTCAGTTCCACAACCTAAAGTGGTCATATGTGTGAGATTAGCATACCGCAAATACTGTCACTTTGGTAGAGAAGGAAAGTTAAATCGTTATGAGGTGGAGGTGGTTTAAAGGTACTATCATTTATTTTGTGAAGTACTTTGGTTGTCATAGAGCATAGGCCTTAGCAATTAGACCCATTAAACCAGTTTTTTTTTGTTGTCTTAGCAGTTGTGGTGTGTAACATCAAAGTGGCTTTCAGTGTATTGCTTGTGTCAGGGCAATCAGTATATTTAGTAGATACACTATATATTCAGGTAGATTTGGAGTAGTTGTGCGCAACGAGGAAACTTTTATTTGTCATGGTTCTATTGCAATCCCATGCCCTTCCATGTATGTGGAGAGACAGTAAGTTACTCTGTGTCAAAGTACTGAATTAGTTCCCAGTCTATAGTTTGAACTCGGGGTTTATTGTTTTTTCTTATTTAGTCCCCAACCTGAACCATTTGATTTTCAATGATCTGTATGAGATCCATTTTCCAAACACATTGAGATTAAGACAAAATACAATTGAAGCAACTGGAAAATACATGAAAAATAAAACGAAAAGGAAGGGAACTATAACAATAAAAGGAAAAGAAGAAGACACAAGGAAGAAGCTAAGGACGGCGATGATAATAAGCAGCTCCTCCATGCATGCCTATCCGGCTATCCCTACTCATTCCAATTAGCTTCAGCCACCTCTGTTCAGTACATATTGTCTCCTTTGCTCCTCCTTTGTCTCTCATCCTTTTACTCTTCCGGCCACCCTTGTTCTCTCCCTCCCACTCCTTCGAGCTCTTCTCCAGTGCCCTCTATTCCTCTCCTCACATTTGCTACTCCCACAGTTCCACTCTCTCCCATCACCTGACTGCTTCTTACAAATGCCTTGTTTGAACTATACATTTTAGCATCTTATCAAGCATTATCATGAGTCTCATTTGATAGTGCAAAAGTCCGTGCCCGATGGTTTTGTCCTGTGATCATCTAGTGCTTAAGTTCAGGATTTGACAAGGATACTCACTATTGTTCTGGGTTGTTTGTCATGCATCAATGAATCATATGTTGAAAAATTACTTGCGCTTTTGGATGATAGCAATACGAGATTAGATTTAAGAGGTTCCGAATGGTCTCTCGGCGCCAAGAATCCTCAGAGTTGAAATTTTGGGTATATTTTCAAGCGATTACATGAATCTTTTGGTGTAGTCAAATAATCTAAGCTGAAAAATGATGAAAATGGAGAACCAAAATAAATGGATGTGTAATGGAGGTTTGATTGAAGAATGAAGTGAAGGAACTGTGGCATATGGATGGCGAAGCTAGGGAGCAGGTGTATGGTTGACAGAGAGAGGAAAAAGGAATTCTCGGGGAAGATAGCTAATTTTTATAACTGTAAAGTCAATATGGTAAAAGATTTGGTGCCATAAAATATGTATAACTATAGATGACGAAGTGCATGGTCCAGTGTGGATTAGGCGCACATCACAGATTCGGATCCTCTCGCAGACTTTCCTGGTATTTAAGTAGAGAAGCGTAGAGGGGCGGGCTCATTATTGACCGAGTTTCAAACCATGCGCCACTGATCCTCAGGGATTTCTCTTATCAAAAAGAAGAAAAAAAGATGACAATGTGCATAATCCAAACCTTCTTGATGATTGATTCTTCATCTATTTGTTTAAATCTTTTTACAGTAGATTTTCATTTTCAAAAACCAATTGCAGTCTAAATCTAAAGTTAAAGCTGCAGAGATTACAGTCAAAAGGGATCTCATATCTGATGCTAAGAAGTACAGGACAAAGGAAATTTGGAAAATTAAGCGGATGCTCCTTTTGATAATAGACGACTACCTTCAATACTAAACAAAAAAGAATATCTGTATCTGTAGTACTATTAAATTCTATTGAGCCTTTGATTTTTCTTATTTGGTTAAAAAAGTATTTATACGATTCTTTTATTTGTTTGCAGTTTCTTCAACGCGTCTTCAGCATTGACACTGTTGTTAAACCTCTGCCTCCTGCAATGGCATATAATGTTGCTCGTAACTTGACCTTCTTCACGAGTATCTTTACGCAATTCTTTGGTAAGTCTATTTGTCTGTTGTATATTACTAATTTGTTTCAAGGGGAAAAAAAAGGGTCCTTCCTTTGTGGTGACCCTTTGGGAGCTACTTTTGGCTAGTTGGTTGTTATCGTGTTTTCACTGAACTGTTTGTTATTCTGATGAAGACTCCTTTGTTTGCTTCTTTTGGGGTTTCTGTCCTTGTATCTTTTTTGTTTCGATGTGGGGGATTATTCGGAGGCTTTTTTTTGGCAAGTAAAACTTAGCTGGGATTGAACTTTGGAGTTTTCGGTGTTTGATTGGGGCTTAAAACAATGAGAAATATTTGTTTAATTGTATATATGCAAGCTGATGGAAGTTGCAAATGTTAAGGTGGGAAGGTAGTCGTGACAAGCAAAATCTTCTACGGTTTGGATAAAAGATGAAAGGAGAAAAAGATTTTCTTTTGTTTCCACCTTTACCAAAAAAAAAAAGAAGAAGATTTTCTTTTGTTTTCCCCTTTGTTCTTTTGGTTCTTTTGTTCCTTATTGTTCTGCTATTGAGGGGTGGATAGTACAAGGAAAGCAGATGAAGCGTGAAGGTCATCTGTTTCCTTTTCTGCCCTCTTCTATTTTGGTCGTTCTAAAAACTTTTAGACATCTTTAATTTCCTTCATTTCCTTTCTTTAATCGGAAATTTTCATTTTGGCAGATCCGGAAGGAATAGCAAATGCACAAAAATCTCTTGGCTTAGGACAGGAAGAAAAAGTTCGTAAGGTTCGTTAATGGACTTTTTTAGTCTCTGCAAGGAGTGTTGAGTTTTCTTTTTTCCTTTGCTGTACCTCATATATTCTGGAGATTCAGGCAGTTTTGTACTCTGTATGCATTTGCTGATAAATGACAAGTAATCTTAAAGCTCATTAGTTTACCAGCACAAGTGCTAATGACCTCCTATTCAGTATTCAGATGAGAATCTCTACGCGACTAGCCCCATTTTGATATGAACTTCCAATAATAGGGGCCCAATTTAGCTAAAAACATGTGAGATCTCTTCTGAATGGTAAAGTTCTTGTCTTCTTGATCCTTGTCAACAATCTTTTCTGGATAACTAGTGTTTCTACATCTGGATTTTACAATATTAACAGCACTGCTGTCTTCTTCTGCAAAGGTTCACCTTCATAGTAGAAGAAGTACCTTGTCGTGGAATTAGTCAAGGTGCATGCAAGGGGCTTGGACGCCACAGTTATATATATTTAAAATAAAAAAAATAAAAAAAGGAGAGTAAAGTGAAGTGCACTCGAATCCATTGAACTTCTGCAAAATCCTCCAATGTTTACTTTACTGTATTTTAATCTAGACCTACAAGGCACTGTAACTCTTCTTCTGTACCTTCTACTGCAATAGTTTAGTTTTTGTTTATCAATAAAAAGCTTTCCTTAGCAAAAAAATACGAGTTAGTCATGTTATTTCAGCTTAGTAGAAAAGGTACCCCCATTTGAGTTTATCTTTCTGAAACAGCGGGTGCATATGTACCCATTGTATTAAACGTGAACTATATACCGATATACGTAGAAAATTTAAAGAAAAATTTCTATAAAAATATTATATATCGAAAGGTACGTACATCCACTGTTTTTTAAATCATGAATCCGATTCTAGCTACAAGCATGCATTCTTGAGAATATAATAAGTCCTAGTAGTTGTCCTCTGCATCCACAAACTTAAAATCCTAAATTTGCCTTATTTGTAGTTCTTCACCTAATAGCAACTGGCAGATAGTACGAGGCAGCGATTGTGACAACACTCGTCATCTTCAACATAACTATATTGGAGTAGTACTTAATTAAAAAATTATTGAAGAACTATATATACTTATAATAAGTTTGCCTTTATTGTTAAAAAATAATAATGGCTTATGATTATTGATCCCTATCTTTATCTCCCTGCCTGCACCACTCAAGTTCTTGCAACAACCTTTTTTTCCAATTCATAAGTAAATCTCTTCATCAGAAAAAGAATAATAAACATAATATTTAAAGCATTTTTTTTTAATCTTTTGAGGCATTGAGGATCTTAAGAAATTTGCAGTAAAATTGTATATTCTAACGCATTCCTAATATATCAGCCACTGCTTCATGGTTCTCCACAAGATTATATTCTCTACTAAATATAGCAAAATACCCAAAAGAAAAAAATTAACTAGAAAAAAGAAAACTAAGTTCACTTCAAATAAATGAGAAGCTGAAGAAATTCAAGTTAATTTCTTCCATGATCTTCCATAGATTAAAATTTTAAAAAAAAAAAAAAAAACTCAAAGAGTGGCAAGTTGCTGAATATTGATGGGATAAACAACATCAAGACCACCATTGAAAGCCTTCCTTCCAAACAAGATATTAACTGCCTCAGTTGGATGAAATGCATCCCAAAATATGAATTGTTCCCTATTTTGACATGGTGTTTGGAATGGTAGACATGTTATTTGCCCTCTATTTCTCCCTACTCCACAGCATCCATTATTTATTTCACTAAATCCTGTTACATCATTAACAATATTGAAAACATAATGTTAGCTTTTGCTTCCAAGGATTTAACACAAAATTTCAAGAAATCTTTATTTAGATGGAAAGTAAAAGAAAATTAGACAAAAAGGACTGTAGTAGGGGAGAGCACTAATAATAACAATAATAGAAGGAAAGAAAAGGAAAAGAAAGGGAAAGGAAGAAAAAGGGATGGATGGTTAAAGGGTAATTAGAAGGGGAGCGTTGGAGTAACGATAAAAGTTGTTTCCGTGTGACTTATAGGTCACAGGTTGGAGCCGTACTAGCAGTCACTAATGTTTGCATTAGGATAGGCTGTGTACTTGGGGTGCGGCTCTTCTCGAATCCTGCGTGAACGTGAAATGCCTTGTACACTAGGTTGCCCTTTTCAATTAAAGGGTAACTAAAAATAAATTTAACTTTTATACATTATCAGTTTAAAGAATTTTTACACTATCAATATATTTTAAATTTAACTTGTTGTAAAGAACATGAACTTTTCAAATGTCTCTTTCACGGAAATAAAATATTGAATAAAATAAATAAGAATTTTTCTTGAATAAGATTGACTTACCATATTGTCTGTAATTGGTAAGGAGATCTTGGAACATATTCCTGATGTCAATATAAACAAATTTGGAACCAGGAAGATTGGTATTAAAGTTGTTAAGCATTGATCTAACATTGTTATGGAATGGAAGAACAAGTTGATTCACTTCATCTGAACATGCACCATTTTGACTTTGTGCAAGAATGCTTGGAATACACCCCATTAATCCAACTCCACCAATCACAAATTTTCTGGCTCCAAGATTATATAATCTCTGCAATTTTCATAAATTGAATTGGAGGGTAAAAAAGTAGACTAATTTGGAAAATAATAAAAGAGAGAATATGAAACAGGAAAAAAGTCTTACCATAAGTTGTTGATTATACTGTTGAACCAAGAGACTGGCAAATTGTTGAGCATTATATTGATTCTTTGTATTATAATTAGGCATAAGGTAATTATTAAGGTAGTCATTGCTTCCCATTCCAACAAAGAAAATAGATTTGGCTAATGCCTCTCCTACATCTGATACTCCAAGATTGCTTCTTATTTGGTTAACTGTGCTCTCAAAATTTGAGATTTGTTGATTGAATGGAATACGCCCAACCTGTATATATAACATTATTAATTAATAAAAATGTCCAATTAATTACATGCAAGATTCTATTAAAAGAAACTAATGTGACATATTTAAGAAGTAAAAAGTAAAAAGCACTTGGATAGGTGGTTTAGGTGTAGTGCATTTACCTGTATTTATTTAATTTGTTAATCAATTTACCATTACAACATTTCAAGTGTCACCCATTTACATTCTACATATGAATTTGACGCATCATTCATCAGTTAAGGGGTCAAATGCCTACTGCTGCTTACAAAGTCCTTGGGAGGGAAAAGGTTGAAATTCCTAAATTTTCTATACACTAAAAAAAAAAGATCGGGAAAAAAATAACTATAAAACACTATCAGATAGGGAAAAAAAATAACTATAATAAGTAAAATTAGTAACCATATATAAGCCAACAACCCTGCTATAACAAGTTAAATTTACATTGAAAATTCTTTACACAGCTAGTACGTATAATTTAAATCCTTTTTTTTCCTTCTAATCTTGCTTTGTGACATTCCAAATAAATTAAGAGTGCCATTTCTTTGCCTTTTCCTTTTTTCTTTTTGTGGGGTGGGAGGGAGTTGAATTAGATATTTCAAAAAATTAAAAAGTTAAAAAGAAAACTCACAAAGTTTCTGCCAGTAATATCAAGAATCCCAGCAGCAGCTGAGGCATAGTTTATTCCAAATCGCATTTGGTCTCCAGAAGCCTCTGTGTATGGTGGAATAAGGGGTAATCCAAGCAATTGAGCTGCAAGTAATAATAAGTCAATAATTAATTCACCCAATATTCTAATTTTATCTATCTTTTAAGAAATTATATAACTGGTTTTTTTTAATCCCTGTTTAAATACTTGATCTACTTATGAGAAGTTTCTTGGCAAGAAGCAAGAATTCTCTTTATCATGTCAAGAAATATTTTCCATATCGATTCCTATTTCTGTTTAAGGAAAAACAATCAAATATTTTTTTTTTATAGTAATAAAAAAAAATGAGAAAAAAGTCCACAATACTAGAGTCTAACATATTGTTATACCTAAGATCTATGCTCGAAAGTATCACATTTCGCTTGATTATTGTGTATGTTAATATTCTAATCTTTTATTTAATCACTCTAAGAATTGATTTTTCTTAATATTCTATCAAAAAGGGAGAAAAAATAGAACTACTGAAACTTTAGAAGGAACTAAAAAGGGCAAAGATTATTTTTTGCCCGCGGCCGAAGCTATTTTCATTCGATAGCCACGAAAAAATGTATAAAATTTATATATTTTTTGTATATAACATACAGAAATGTATACATATTCCAAAAGTATACATTTTTTGCTATTATTTTTAGAGTGACTATACAACATTATTTTTCCGAATAAAAAAGAGAACCAAAGGATGAAAAAATGGAAATAAATTCCATGCACAAAGGGTTGGAAAATGAAATATTTGGAGGAAAAAACAAATATAAATAAGTGGATAAATGTGTGTATATTACCAATTACATCAACCATAGTGTAACCATTGGAGAAACGACCAGTAGGGCCACCATTAAAATCAATCCCATAAGGAAAATAATTAGCCTTTGCTAAAGAAGGCAAATTATTATTGTTTCCATTGTCAATCAAAGAGTCACCAAATATAAACATGGCTGGTACCAACGCATTCCTCGTTCCATCTTCTTCTTGACATATTGCATTATTAACCAATATAAACAACAGAAAACCCAAAGAAAATAGCCTAAACTCACTAGCCATTTCCTCAATATAGATGGATTTCCTCTACTTTCTTTGGTTAGTGTGTGTAAATAATGTAACTAGCTTGAAGTGAGAAGGAATGAAAAGGTGGCAAAGGGTTTAATAGAGGAGGGAAATGTGGTGGTTAGAGAGGAGTAAATGAATTCACCTGTAAGTTGTTTTATGCAGTAAATGAGTGAGTATATAGGAATTATATTCCTTGGGAATAATATATTTCTACACTATACTTACTGCTATATTTCAGGTTGGTTTATTGATTTGATGGTTTTTTCACTTTCGTAGTTTCGCCTCATTAGGAATTGAAATTATTATGAACTATGAGCGATTTATGCAAAATATCCGTTGAGCTTAAAATAATTACCTTTTTATATCCACTTGAAAACTATTTATAATATATACTTACAACAACAACAACAATTCAGTGTGGTCCCACAAGTGGGGTCTGGGGAGGATAGGATGTACGCAGCCTTACCCCTACCCTGGAAGGGCAGAGAGATTGTTTCCGATAGACCCTCGGCTAAAGAACGTGAGACAAGCCCTGATAGCAAGTAATAGCAAAACAATAATTAGAAAACTAAATCGAAGATAGCAACAGATAATATGAAAGGGTACTGATAACAAGTAGTAGCAAGATAATATATTTAGAAAACTAATTCCAAGGCAGCAGCCAAGAATATGAACGAAGTACTGCGTACTTATAATATATACTTACCTAATTAAAACTAATTACCCCTACCTACCCACCCATCCTAACTTATTTTACCCATTTAGCTTAGCTTAGCTTGATTAGGCTTGGTTTGGCTCGGCTCGGCTTGATTTGGTTTGGCTCGGCTTGGGTTGATGTATTTTGGCTTGGCTTGAATTGGCTTGGTTTATAGTAGCTTAGTTTGACTTATTAAAAAAATGGGTAAGGAAAAACAAAGTGGGTAGGGGCGGGTAAATACTTTACGCCCATGGGTATTCGAGTTAAAAGTCAGTAATTTCTTTTTTATTATTTGCTTAATTTCACTAATTCTTGATAACTACTTGGGAAGTTACATATCAATGTATTTCATGGAAAAAATCTTGAGAAGATTTAAGTAGAAGTATTACTATACGTTAACCTTGAACTCAACAAAGGAAAACATTTAAAACAAAGAGAAAAGAGTCAGCGCCACAAAAATTGAAAGGAAGTTATTAGTTGAGAAAATAAACAACATGAGTAACTGCTATAGTAATTATGCGTGCTGCAGGCTGCAGCCATGGATGAGCTGTGATTTAATTGGTACCTTTGGGCGGAGCTCTCTGTGCCATTGATGCCGTGTGTTACATTTGATGCTACCTCACTTAATAATGTTGACCTCCGCTGCATTCCTTCATTAATACTTAGCTCCATTTGCAGCTCGTAATAGGATCAACTCTCTCTGCGAAACACAGTTCCCTAGAGAAAAAGGTGCATGTTTATGACTCTGAGAAGTAAATGCAAAAACTTTTTTTTCTTTCGGAATTTTTATGATGTGCATGCAGAAAAGCTTATTTTTCTGTGTTGGGGACAGTTGAGACGGTTCCTTCGTATTTACTACGCTGGCCTTTGTATTTGACTTGAATCTTCTGTTATTACCTTCCTGAATGTGCGAACTACGTTCATTGCAAAGTACACTTAATTTCATGCCAACTAACGTTAGGTTGTATGATAAGAAATGACCTCTCTACCTCACACAATGTTTTGTAACGATCCGGCCGGTCATCTTGAGAACTTAAGCCTCGTCCAATGGCGTAAGGTTTGAAACAGTTTCATAATATGAGTATCGACTTGTGTGCATGGTTGAATTCAATTAACGGATGATTCAGAGTCAAATTGGAAGAAGGAATCTAGTTTTGGGAGTTTAAGCGGTGAGAATTTGACTGGAATTTGACTTTTGAGTAAAAGGCCCCGGAATGGGTTTTGGGTGATCTCAACAGCTTCGTGTGGTGATTTTGGACTTAGGCGTGCATCCGGATTCAGATTTGGAGGTCCGTAGGGTAATTTGCGGCGTTTCGGCGAAAGTTGGAAAAGTTGAGGTTTGGAAAATAGAGAAGTTTGACCCATAGTTGACTTTTGCGATATCGGGGTCGGAATGCGATTCCGAGAGCTGGAGCAGCTCCGTTAGGTCATTTTGGACTTGTCTGCAAAATTTGGCGTCATTTCGAGTTGATTTGATTGGTTTCGGCATAAGTTTTCGAAGTTGGAAGATTTGAAAGTTCCTAAGTTCGATTCATGGTGTGATTTGTCGTTTTGGCGTTGTTTGATGTGATTTGAGACCTCGACCGAGTCCGTGTTAGGTTATATGACTTGTTGGTATGCTTGGACGGGATCTCGAGGGCCCCAGATGTGTTTCGAACGAGTCGCGGATGATTTTCCATGGTTTGGGGGGGTTGAGTTCTGGTGTAATCGCACATGCGGACCCTTGGCGCAGGTGCGAAGGAAGAAGCGCAGCTACGAGAAGAGCTGGTCTGGGCAGTCTCCGCAGATGCGGTGAATTTGGAACGCACGTGCGATGCCGTAGAAGCGGATCCCTGGGCGCAGAAGCGGAGTGGAGCGCAGGTGCGATTGGTCAGGCGCATCTGCGGTTGCGCAGATGCGGTTAAGTTGGTCGCAGGTGCGGAAGTTCTGGCAAAATCATATAAGCCGAGGGTTTGGCCATTTCCTTCATATTTTGAGTTTTAAACTTTGAATTTTGGAGCTTCTTTTGAGGTTTTTCAAGCAAATCGATCGGGTAAGTGTTCTTCACCTAAAATCTAACGTATTCCATGATTTTATCTTCATTTTTATCATTTAAATTGTGTTATGGGTTGGGAAGGAGTTGTATTTTGAAGAAAATTTCTAAAATGAAAAATCGTGAATTGAGGGACCAAATGGTATCGGAATTTGATAAATTTTGTATGGTTGAACTCCTATTGGAATGGGTATTCGCTTTTTGTAAAATTTGTTGGGTTCCGAGGTGCGAGCTCGGGGTCGACTTTTCGACCAATTTTTTAATTTTGTTAAAGTTTGAGACTTTATGATTCGGAATAGTTTCTTATGTATTTTATTTGTGCTTTGAAGTTAATTTGGGTTAGATTTGAACCGACCGGAGATCTTTTCACCCGAGAAGTACATTTTAAAGTATCGGTGTGTCATCTTTGAGGTAAGTATCTTGCCTAACCTTGTGTGGGGGACTTCCCCCTAGGATTTGAGTCTTCTATGTTAATTGTAGTTCGTGTACGCGAGATGACAAGTGCGTGCTCGGACTTATCTATGAAAAATTGGTCTTTTAGAGTTCTTAGGTCCTTATATTCACTGTGTATGAATGTAGTCTTGACATGACTGAGTTTCCTATTTACTAGTTTCACATCTACATGCTTGACTGGAAATAATTGCTTCGTGATTCACTCTTATTGCTTAACTGACTCCTATTTGATTTAATTGAAGAATTTCGCCTCTCCTATTGTCGTGCTATCTTATCATAGCTGTTTATCTTATTTGAGAATCATTATTGTCCTTCCTGAAATTTTGTTTAGTCTTAAGTGAAGCTAAAGATCATCTTTCCCTAATTGAATTGTAGAATATCCTCGAAATTGTCCAACCTTAAAAGGAGTTAGATAACCTATATCTTTGTTGACATGCCCTTATTTGGGACTACTTGACTCGCGTTGATTTCCTTGTTATTGACTTGTATATTGTGGGATTGTTGCTATACGTTAGTTTTCCCGTGTTGAATTGTTCCCTTTATGCCAGCATTCTTTTCTGTGGTTATTCCTTGTGAGTTGGTTCTACCGTTTCCTTGTGATTTACAGTCCTTAAGTTGATTACTTGTCTTACCTTGTATTATTGTCATTGTTGTTGTTGTTATATGTATCGTGGTGATGTACGAGCTTTCTGTTGTGTTGTGACTGTTATTTACTTTGGGACTACGGATCGGTATTATGGAAGATCCCCCTGCACGTTTACTTTTGGGACTACGGGACTGCACCCGGGAGATTCCTCTGTACTGGATATTTACTTTTGGGACTACGGGACTGCACCCGGGAGATCCTTTGCACATTTACGTTTGGGACTACGGGAGATCCCCTGTTAAAATCATTGCGATATGAGCTGATATTTTCATTGATCATATCCCTACGTAAACATTATAGGTGTTGTCCGTTCCATTCCTTATACTTACTAGTTGGTACGAACTATGTTAGGACACTTGCACAAGCATACACGTGGTTAATCACCCTTATCGAGTAGGAGGCTCTTTGAGATTTCTGAGTATAGACGCACACCTTGTTATTTGCCTTCCATGTGAGGATGACTCTTTTGGGGTACGTGAGTTGTCAGCATGATCAGGAGGTGTGTCGAGGGCACAAGATGCCAAGTGTTAGGGTTCAGGTGTTGAGACCCGTATTGTATGATTATGAGATGAGGTGTCACAGGGTGACTTATATTCGAAGGTTATCTTTTTGAAAAGATTATATTTGGAGGTACTTATTTTTAATTAACTATTCTGAAATGTCACTTGGTGACTGATACTCAATGAAAATTTGTTTGAAAAGATTATATTCTAAAGCATTATTTTGAAAGAAGCTCTTTTGAAAAGAACATTTATTTGAAGGAAGTATATTTCGAACCATTTTTACCACTTGAAAAGAGTTTGATTATTTGATTGATGCTTGTTGGTTAAGACTTAAGGTGAGAATTATCAAGTTGTTGGGTTATGACTTGTCTTTACTGTATTTGTGATTTCGGATTTGGACTGTCTCCTCGTTTACCTTTCCGTGTTTTCCTTATGGTGTTCCGCGGAGTACTTGCTGTTTTTCTTTCCTTATTGCAATTACTGTATTGTTAACCGTATCGCGTAATCTCTATATAAATATCATGTTCTGTATATTAGACCAGTAGGTGTCTTGACTGTTCCTCGTCACTACTCCGTCGAGGTTAGTCTTGATACTTACTGGGCACCGTTGTGGTGTGCTCATACTACACTTCTGCACATTTTCTTTTTGTGCAAATCCACGTATTTTTCGCTAGTAGCTGTTGGAATTCTTACCGAGGAGACTCAAGGTAGCCCTGCTGCTGCTTTCGCAGGCTTCGGAGTCACCTTCCTATTTTATATTCACACAGTTGTACTTATTTCCGTACGGTTGTGTTTAGAAGTTGTAGTAGAGCTTATGACTTGTATGTCACGACCCAAACCCGGACGCGGTCGTGATGGCGCCTCTCGTGGGGACAAGGACATCCAACTAAACCCAATTCATCTCTTTTAAAACAGTTAAACAGTTCATAAGCAGTTAAAATATGATTTAATGATAATAATTAGCGGAAGTACAACCCGCCATAGCCCAGACCGGAGTGTCACAAGTCACGAGCATTTATTGGGGTATAAATATAACTACAAGGTCTGAAATATACAAAACAGGACTGATAAACAAACAGGGAGAAAAGCGGTGCTGCGAACGCTGACAGTCACCTCGCTAAACAATGATAACTCTGCCTCCGATCAGTCAAAACCCTCTATCGGGTGTATAAATACCTGCATCTGCACACAAGGTGCAGGGAGTAAAATGAGTACTCCAACTCAGTGAGTAATAAAGGTAAATAGCAACTGAGCAGCAAGAAATCACGTAAAGCAAACCATCATGTTGTATAGAAGCAATGTAAAACCTTCTGAGAAAAACAATGAAGCGGTGAAATCTTAAAATGACTCTTTCAACAGCTACGCAAATGAATGCAAAATAGTTAGTGCCGATAAGCACAGAAAATCTGCCCCTCGGGCACAAATACCACAGTATAACAGGTAAAATGACAAGTAAATATGAAAGATAAACACATAAAGGTTCGTCCCTCGGGCAATATCTCAGAACAGAACCAGCCCATCGGGCTCACTCTCAGGATAGTATCAGCCCCTCGGGCTCACTCTCAGAACACTCTCAGCCCCTCGGGCTCACTCTCAGAACAATATCAGCCCTCGGGCTCACTCTCAGAACAATGGGTACCCGCACTCACTGTGGGTGTGCAGACTCCGGAGGGGCCCCTTACGGCCCAAGCGCTATATCAAGCCACCTCGTGGCATCATCTCTCCGCACTCGGCCTCACATCACTCGGCACTCGGCCTCACATCACTCAAGCCACCTCGTGGCGTATAAAAATATCTCAGGCCCTCGGCCTCATATCACTCAGTATATCCTCGCATATGGCCCTCGGCCTCACTCAGTCCGAAAATCATCACAAGCCCCAGGGCATTAGTAAAACAGCAGTTCTCAGCCCAAACATCATTTAAAATATCATTTAAGTCTCAAAACTGAGTAAAAGTGGCTGAGTTTGTAAAACAGTAGATATCAACAGGACTGAGTTCAAGTAATAAATTCAAAACAATGAGAAAATAGTGATAGAAATCCCCGAAGGGTTCAAATAATTGGCACGAAGCCCAAATATGGCAATCAGCCCAAATCATGATGATAACAAGTAAATTTCAGTCAAATACGCAGTAAATTCGTCAATCGGGACGGACCAAGTCACAATCCCCAACGGTGCTCTACCCCACGCTCGCTATCCGGCGTGCAAGTCACCTCAATATAGCACTACGATGTGCAAATCTGGGGTTTCAAACCCTCAGAACATCATTTACAATCATTACTCACCTCGAACTGGCGAAATCTCTAGCTCGCGACGCCTTTGCCCCTCAAATCGGCCTCCACGCGCGTCGAATCTACCAAAAATCAGAACGAATACATCACAACATGCTAAGGGAACAAAGCCCAAGCGAAAACAATCAATATCGGGCACAAATCCCGAAATTACCAAAACCCGAGCCCTGGGCCCACTTCTCGAAACTCAGAAATTTTTACATCAACAGGTTCCTTACCTTCCCACGAGTTCATACATATCAAAAGTTCTCAAATCCGACCCCAAATGGCCTTTCAAATCCCAAATCAAAAGTCCAATTTCTCAAGCCCTAGTTCTTCAATTTTTGGCTTAATTTCCATGAATTTCTAGGTGGATTTCACAATATAATCGAGTTTTAAGACTAAGATTCTTACCTCAAGTCGATTCCTCTTGAATCCCTCTTTAATTCCCTTCAAAAATCTCCAAAAACGAGCAGTCATGGGTGAAAATAGACCCACATTCGCGAACAAGATGACTTTAAAAACATTCTGCCCAGGCATATTTTCCTCTATGCGATCGCGGGAAGACCTTCCGATCGCGAAGCACAAATGCTCAGCCCTCAGATTTAACTCTACGCGAACGCGACATAACCAATGCGAACGCGATGCACTGCAGAATCACTCTATGCGATCGCGGACCACCCTCCGCGTTCGCGATGAACAAATTTCCAACCAAAACCTCAGGTCCACTTTACTCTATGCGAACGCGACCAGCCATACGCGTTCGCGATCAACAAATTCCACCTACTATGCGATCGCATCTCTACCTGTGCGAACGCGAAGCACGATTGAACTGCTCCCTCCAAAGCCTCTATGTGATCGCGAGAGAACCATCGCGATCGCGATGAACAAAATGCCAGAACTGGAGCTTGCAATTTTTCTGAAGTCCTCAAAGCATGAAATGGTCCGATTGACCACCCGAAACTCACCCGAGGCCCTCGGGACCTCAACCAAACATACCAACATAAACCATAACGTCATTCAAACTTGTTCCAATCATCAAAACACCTCAAACAACATCAATTACTCAAAACTCATCGAATTCAAGCCTAAGTTTCCAAAAACTTCCAAAATACACTTTCGATCAAAAACCCGACCAAACGACGTCCGAATGACCTGAAATTTTTCACACACATCCCAAATGACATAACGAAGCTACTGCAACTCTCGGAATTCCACTCCGACTCCCGAATCAAAATCTCACCTACCAACCGGAAAACGCCGAAATCTCACTTTTGCCAATTCAAGCCTAAACCTTCCACGGACTTTCAAAATGCATTCCGATCACGCTCCCAAGTCCCAGATCACCTAACGGAGCTAACCAGATCATAAAAATTTCGATCCGAGCTCATATACGAATAAGTCAACTCTTGGTCCAACCTTTCAAATTCAAAGCTACAACTGAGAACTGTTCCTTAAATTTCATTCCGATTTTCCTGAAAACCAAAACCAACGATCTACATCAGTCATAATACATTACACGGGGCAAGTCGTGCCCGAGAACTGGCGATCAAAGTGCAAAAGCTCAAAACGACCGGTCGGGTCGTTACATTATACTACCGGATTTTGAGAATTATAAATTGGGAAATTACCAGCTATGTCCATTTATAGGTAGATCATTACAAAAGTTGGCCAATTGATAAAATATTACTAATATTAGCCAAATTAGCCAATTAGCTATTTGTAGCAAAAAAAATATCAAATCTTTGCTTTGTTTTGAGTGGGTGTTATTAGAATAGATTGGGCACAACTTAAGGAGCTTGAATCTCAGTTTTGGGATGATTTGGTGAAGTTTTGAGGTGGTTTGAATAGAAAATTCGAAGTAAAAGCTGAACATGAAAAAAATGATATGTGTATCACACTGTGTATCATTTGTGTATCACAATGTATCATATTTGTATCAATTGTGTATCACATGTATATCCATGTATACCTGTGTGTGAGATACATGCGTGATACAAGTTTGATACATGTGTCGCAGAAGACTTCTTTGAACTCAATTTAATTATGAATTTTGATACAAGACCACTCCAAATCACCTCCAATCTTCCTCAAATTTTGTATATTGACTTATCTATATATTTTCAATGAATTTCAACTATACCCATTGAAAAAGTTCCTTTTTTGTTTAGATTTTTGGAATATTTGTATAGATTTTTGTATTTCATCATCTTATTTGCTACCCCGTCCATGAAATTTCTTTTCCGTCTTGTATCTAATGTTGCTAATCACACTTAAAAATATGGAAGGTGATTTTTGCATGTGATTCTTTGAGAGAAAGAACCCTATTATTTGGTTTTTCAATTTTTTGTTGGCTAGTTTTGGTACGTCTATGACTAATGGCTAGAGGTTGGTAAGTTGAGGTTTATTTGGGACATTTGTGTAAGTTTTCCTAATAAATTTTGTAGAGATTTCTGCTTCAAGACTGTTAAACTTTTGTTTATTATTATGGTATTCCAGCATGAGTTAGGCTTACCTAGTCCCTACCCATACGAAGGGAAAGTTGGGCCGTGACATGTTTGCATTATGGAATCACACTGGGTAGGTTGTTGTTACCATAGGGTTGTATAACACAAACTGGATATTTGTATCTTCCAATTTCTCAATGGTTAGTACAGACAATACGGGATTTTTTGAAGAGCTCCATATAGTTTTGGAGTGTAATGTACGTTGTTTTCTCCCCTTGTAGAGTTATATCGCACTTATTCTTACCCCAACTAATTAGTCTTAGAGGCATTTTATTTGTCTCCTACACAATGGATTCATTGAAGAAAGATACTGAAAACAATTAGCACCCAAAAATGGGATCCTAGCTCAAACCAAGTGCATTGGACCGATAAAGGTCAGTTTTTAAACAAATTTGATCCAGAAAAACAGGCTCCGCATATGGTGAAGACATTTGCATAAGGCATCTAATTGAACTGACTGAAGTTCTAAAAAAATATCAGAGATAAATATACATATACACAAAGTTGGATATCACCAGATCACACTAAACACCAAGTGTTACTAATCATCCCCAATTTTACCCCATAGTCAGCACCAATAAATCAATCTTACAGGTATCCTGTTCCAATTTTACACCGAAACTACATGGCAAAGAATGTGTCAAGGCTTCCATAACTTCATGGTGCAGTCTTCTCCATAGGTGGCGACAAGGTTTATATGGGGATGGTGAGTGATACCAATTACTTCCTTTTCATGTACCTGCCATAAAGCAGAAAAGTATAACTTTCAGCGACTTGTTTATCCTGATCCTAAAGCCAAGAACATTAAAAACCCACCTAGACACTTAATGCACCCCTGACAATAATGACTACCATATCACTAGATTAAAAAAACATATTCGACATCCATACCTGACAATATGCAATATAGTACAGGGAATCTTACAGAAATGTCCGAAATAAGTCCCTAACTTACCAACCTCTAGCCACTAATCATAGGCTTACCAAAACTAGCCAAGCACATATAAAAATTGAAAACCCAAATATATAAAGATTCTATCTCTCCAACAATAACACGCAAAGATCTCCTTCTATATTTTTAAGCGTGATCAGCAACATTAGACACAAAGGAAATTTCATGGATGAGGTAGCAAACAAGGTGATAAAACACAAATAAAATAAAATAAAAAATATTATATATATATCTAAGCAAAAAGGTACTTTTTTCAATGGGTATGGTTGAAATTCATTGAAAATATATAGATGAGTCAATATACAAAATTTGAGGAAGATTGGAGGTGACTTGGACTGATTTGGTATTAAAATTTGTAGTTAAAATCGAGTTCACTAAATGCTAGTGAAACACATGTATCACGCATGTATCTCACACATAGGTACACGTAGATACATATTTGATACAAATATGATACATATGTGATACACAAATGATACAAAAAGTGATACACAACATTTTTTTCTATGTTCATCTTCTACTTCAAATTTTCAATTCAAACCACCTCAAAACTCTACCAAATCATCCTAAAACTTAAACCCCTTAAGATGTATCCAATCTATTCCAACAACACCCACCCGAAAGAAAGCAAGAATTTAATATTTTTTTGGCTACAAATAACTAATTAGCTAATATGGTAATATTTTATGAATTGGCAAATATTTGTACTAACTTACTTATGTGCTGACATAAATGGTAATTTCCCCTATAGGTATATGTACATACCCAGACCCCACCTGGTGGGATTTTACTGGGCAGTTGTTGTATATGTACATACATGTGCATGTGAATGCAGGAGCAGATATGTTTAGTGTTGCTAGGGAAAAGGGGAAGGGGTTTAATGGTAAAAAAGTTTATTTAGGAAGGATTAAGAGGCAACAAAAGAAAATAGTCTATGCACCATTATCACTGCATAAATGTTGATTAAAACAAATATGATTTGGTAAAAAGAAAATGCGATAGTACAATACAGACTGAGGATGAATTCACAGAGAAATAACCACAGAATCAGTTAACCTTTCTATCATTTTCTTATTTCGCTAGCAGGTTGGTTGGAGAGGTATAGTGAGAAGTAATATAAGACGTGTTAAACCAAAACATCCATGGTATCCATTATTTTACATAGGTAAGAAACTTAAAACCACACAACACATCAGCAAGTTATCATTTCCCCCCTTCTCTTGGCATGAATGAAGGTATTAGGAGGATGAGCCAAGGAGAAAAAACAATATCTTCTTGGCACTGTTATTTATCTTTTGACAAACGAAAAAACATTTAATTTAGCCTCGGCAGCATCCGTGTATGTGAACATGTGCATCTCAGGTACATACGTACACATCCCAGTAATGATTAAGTGAGCAAGCAAGTGAGATAAAGAAATCAAGAAAAGAGAGATTTATAACAATATGAAGCTCAAAGTTTTAACTCTACAAGTATGTATGACTTGTACTGTAACAATAAGGAAAGAACATGTGGTAGACAAACTTCATGTCGGAATTAAAGCGTACCTTCATCAGATGTTCCAATTTGTTTGACTGATAACTAAAGCAGTACAAGTTTCTGTTGGAATAGACAAACCACATCATCAGCATAAATGGGATAAATCCTTCCCCACTGAATATCAATATCAACAACGTAATTAAGTTCACATAACTGACACATTTTGAGTGCAGGGAAAAAAAATATATTTTGGACTGAAGTATGGTTAGGGGGTGTGAGCTTAAGTAACAGATTTCCAAACCTGTACAATTGCTCTGTGAATAAAGATGGTTTTGTTGCTGAGTTCTATTCTACTAATGGTTGGCAATTAAATCCTAGAAGAGGCTTTAATGACTGGGAGTTGGAAGAAGTATGGGAAATTACTCCAATTACTAGGCACAACAGTGGTGGAGGAAGACAAGGAGGATCTTATGGTTTGGACAGCAAGCAATGATCTGCGATATTCTGTCAAAAGCTGTTATAATCTTTTCCAGGAACAAAATGATCAATATGAATCAAATTGGCCATGGAAAATATTATGGAGAACCAAAGCACCTATTAAAATGGCTTGTTTTGGGTGGGTTGCTATCAGAGAAGCCAATTTAACTCAAGATAACTTACAAAAAAGGGGATTCTGCCTAAGTAACAGATGCTACTTATGTGAAGAAGGGTTGAAAACTGTTAATCATCAGTTTATCCATTGTAAAATTGCTAATCAGTGCTGGGAGCTTTTTTTGAATCTGTGTGGTGTTTCGTGGACTACACCTCCAGACATAAGATCTTTACTGGTCAGCTGGCAAGGGCAGAAGGTATCAAAGAATCAGAAGCAACTATGGTGGACCATCCCTCTATGCATTTTCTGGACCACTGGGAAGAAAGGATTTGCTTTGAGGACAAGAGGAATCACATTGCTAGAATAAAAAATACTTGTCTTCCAAATTTATTTTTTTGGTGTAAGAAATGTTTAGTTGAAAGTCTAGATCAATATATGGAGTTTTTGGATGTGTTAAGCAACTTGTAACTGATAGTATGCTATTATAGGTGTTGTCTGATCCTGGTGTAATCTTATGTACCCTCTTAGTACTTTTATCAATAAAACCTTTACCTTATCAAAAAAAAAAAAAAGATATTTTCCACTGTACTATAAGCAATGACGGTTCAAAAGTAGATACAAGAGAGCAGTAGTAGTTTCAGAATAACACGATCATTTATGAATAATATACTAATGAGGTGTTTGGCCAAGCTTTTGGATGGAAAAAAAGTGTTTTTGAGGAGAAGCAGAAAAAAGTAGCTTCTCTCTAAAAGCACTTTTTTGAGAAGCACTTTTGAGAAAAATACACTTAGAAGCAGTTTATTAAAGCTTGACCAAACACTAATTGCTGCTCCGAAGTGTTTTTCAAACTAATTAGCCAAACACAAACTGTTTCTCACCAAAAGTACTTTTGAGAAAAGCACTTTTGAAAAAAAGCACTTCTCAAAATAAATAAGCTGATTTTTGCAGCTTGGCCAAACGGGCTATACTTAAGTTCAATCGTAGACAAATCTATAGCAGCAAATCCTTGAAGTTCCAAATGTAGAGAGAAATCTTCAAGGATGAAATAAAATCAAAGTTTACTAAGTAACAACAAAGTCACACTCTCCTGCTCTCTTTTTCCCTAGCAATAAGAAATAATGGCATCAATCTCCATAAAGCAAGGGACTTAAACATCAACTATACCTGTCTTCACCTACACAGTAAATCCATTCTCCTTTTGGTGATAGACAAGCAGCCAAAAAGTCTCCACCTTCTCTTTTACCAGATGAGAAACTTTTAACGACCTACATGACAATTGCATAGCATAAGTTCACTTATTATTTGAATTCTTTTATTAAACTCCACTTCAGTCCATTGTCCTTATGTTTTCTTTTAGAAAACGAATTTGACATTTCGATTAATATATAGAAAAGTCTGTTGCTAGTATAAAATGATTCCATTTCACAATTTGTTCGCTCCACTTTCCCTGCCTATACAACAACAACAACAAAATCCAGTATAATCCCACAAGTGGGATCTGGGGAGGGTAATGTGTACGCAGACGTTACCTCTTTCCCCGACTATAAAAGGGCATCCCGGTGCATAAGCTCCCGCTATGCGCGGGGTTCGGGGAAGGGCCGGACTGCAAGGGTCTATTGTACGGAGCCTTACCCTACATTTTTGTAAGAGGCTGTTTCCACGGCTCGAACCCGTGACCTCCTGGTCACATGGGGGCAACTTTACCAGTTACACCAAGGCTCCCTTTCCCCGACTATGCGAAGGGAAAACCTCCAAAATAAAAAACTAAAGAATGGGAAAGAAAAAGGATCCACAAACAACAATGCTAACCTGTCCTTGAAGTGTCATCAAATAAATAGATGACGTCTTATTGCACACTATAATGTGATCTGTGTTCTTAGGGAAAAGATGGACAGAATTCACAGATGCATCACCACCCTGTAGGAGAAAAAGATAGCAGCAAACGAGTTCAAAAAACAAAATCTCGCAAAACAAAGTATCCTGAGAAAAAACACACTTAATAAATAATATAGCGGTAATATGCCCCAGGCAAATCGAATACCCTTAAAGGAGGTGGTGGTCTAAATGTCTGCAGACACTCTGTAGTTTTGGCATCCCAGACCTGTTTTGAGGCAACTACAAATTATGCACACAGAATAGAGTAGATAACCCCAATTAAATAGAATTGGAAAAAAATATGGCACGCTTCTCTCAGTCATCCCTTGAAAAACAGTAATCTTACCTTCACTGAGCCGTCACTAGATGCGGTGATGACTCGAGATCCATCATTATTAAAGATGGCATCATTCACATAAGATGAATGCCCGCGGAATTCCTTTAACAATTTACCTGACTTCAGACCATGAATTCTACAACAGATGAAACAGAGATATCAGGCATGCTTCTACCAACTAAGCCCAACAGCAGACCATTTATGGCTATGCAGACGCTTTATTTTTTAGTTTATTTCCCTTTTCCCAAGAGAGAGAAGGTGATGACTGCATCTGAGGATATCATTTAGCTAAAACCCCTGTGTCTTAACATCTAGTGAGACATGCCATCACTGCAAATGGTCAAAGATTAAAAACCTTGCTGTGCTGTCAAAGGATGTGCTTAAGATCTGACTTCCATCTCGAGAGAAGACAAGACTGGTGACACCCTGCGAATGTGCACGTTCAAGACGGCGCAAGCACTGGCCAGTCCTTATACGCCAAACCTATCACACATAGTAAACATAAGAACTGGCAAGCCAAAACCAGATCTAACACGTTGATATAGGAAAACAAAAAGAGGAAAAAAAAAACAGAAGACAACAAAGAGTAACAAACTGTACAGAGAAGTAGCTGCACAGCAAAAACTTGGACAACTTGGACGGTTAAAATAAAGTCGTATGAAGAGGCATATGAAGGATGCGTCATAAATTAGACAACTTGGACTCTTGCGTTGATTCAGTAATTAAAGTTTCTGATCCAACAGGTAAAGCTTAAGCAAAAACAGCCATTATGGTTTTTTTTATCCTTCTCTCTTTTCATTGATTATGGAGTCCTTCTCCTGCTCCTACAAAAGTTAAGGATCTTTTGTCTTTTTTGTGATAAGTAAACTATTAAGGATCTTTATGGAAATATTAAGGAGCTTTATGAAGCTGCTTTCGAATGATTATACATATGAAGCAACAGAATATATTTCTTCATTTCAATGCTCCAGCATGTTATTATTCGGGGCGCCAGCATTAAATTGCATTTGTACATAAAACTTATCTGAAGTGCAATTACAGCGTAACAATGTCAAAACAAACTGCTCAAGACTTCCTCAAGAGTCTCAGTTCTCCCAGCGGTCAAATTGGCAGGACGAAGATAATACGAATTAGAAAGGTTTTATTGAATAGAGCTGATCAGGAACTAAACCTTTACCTTTATTTTTCCATCTTGTGACCCAGATGCAAGCATCTCCGAGTCTCTGCTAAAATCAACACAAAGGACAGCATCATCATGCATCATAAAAGTTTCCTACATAAATATTCAGCAAGTCAGAAAATACAAAAGATTCACCACATGCATGAACATCCCAAGTTCAAACAATAGCTAAACACAAATTCAAATGCATCAAGATAACCAAGTCCTCTTTCAGAGATCATCCGCCTAACATGGGCAGGTTAATACAAAACAGCTGCTGATTACTGATTAGACAAATGGAAGATGCAGGAACCCGGCATGATAGACGATACAAATTCAAAAATACAAAGTGGCAATTCCAGGACGTCTCTTTTCACCAAACAGCCTGATGAGTATTTAAAACCAAACAAAGATGTCGTATTACCAAATAAATTATACACCCAAATAATAAGAAATTTATCATGATTAAAAAAAATTCAAAAAAAGACAATGACAAAAGCACCAGTAGGAAAGCCGAACCATATGATTAGGTATTCTAAAAGCGAGATTCAAACCCCTTATACCCCCACCCCCCAAAACCAAAAAAGGGGGAGAAAAACATGGGAAAAGAGATAGGCCTATATTTATAGGTAACAAACAGCGTACATCCCTTTTATAAAAACAACTAATATTTAGATTTGAACAACTTTGCATATTGACATTTATGAAGGAACATCTTGGAGAAGTAGATAAGCGATAAAACTTGCTTAAGGCAATTCACAAGACAACTAGCTGCATACAAACGAGATATACTATATCTTCTATTCATTAATAAACTTCACTGCAGATATAGCAAAGAAATTACACAACTGCACTTGTCAAATGGAGTAAAGGTTCCAGCAACAACATAAGCACCAATAATAACATACAGAGATGAAACAACCATGGAATTATGCTAGGATTCCAAGAAAGTAGAAACTAAAGCCCACAAAATTAGGATGAAACTCGGAAAGAAACAGTAAATTTATAACTCACATCAGCCTGATATTGAAGATCCTTCTTCAGTTTTCCACTTACGTGGTCCCATACCTGGTGAATCAAATAAGAATAAATTTGAATCAACACTATACCATCAATTAAAATAAAAGAAATGAAGAAAGTAAACAAGAGCATTCGCAGAGACTTAGGTTTAGTATACCTCAATAAATCCATCAACTGAGCATGAGACAAGGAATTGTCCATCAGGGGAGAACCTAGAACATTCAGGATGACTCTTCTTCCCAAACTGCAGCACAAAATCCACTAGAGAAATAAAATTATCATCTTTAAATTTCTTATTCACACCCCCTTATTACTCTCAAAAAGGAAAAAAGGAGAGAAAGCTTGAAAGGAAAAAACGAAACGGCTCCAGAAAGATTTTCTAAAAAATATATGGACTGTGCTATAGTACAACGAGTATACAAGGACTAAGAAATAACACCTACGAATTTAAAGCTCGGCACATATCAGGTGAGATTAATCATTTCCTAGTTCATGCACATAATAAATGTTGCGTGCATCCAAGAGGATGAGCTTGAGTAATAAAGATATCATCATGGTGTCTATGTAATGAGCTCAAGAAGCCCACCGTGGTGTCTATATGCAACAGCCACGTAGCACAAAAAGTAGTAAAGATATGCATCTGTCCTTAATGCTAATAACAGACTCCAATTTGCTCTCAAAAATTCTAGTGTAATAGTCCACCAAATCACTAAAGGGGTGGTGTTCCAAGTTTTCTTATTTATTTGTGTACTTCTTCTGTCAAATTTAAACAGATAATGGTGAAAAAGAAAAGAAAGCAAACATAGATAACCATGTTATCAGAACATTGAGGATTTCTAACTGTCTCCCCTTATCATACTTTTGTGACTTCCTGAGATGTCATTTACTTCTTTGCATTTTGAGGAGAACTTGTTTGGACTTGGACACAATATTTTGTTTCATATTAGGAAGAAAAGCATAGAACATAGTTTCACAAAAACAACAATGGTTATCCACAGGAGAATACACACATAAGAAATAAACTTGAAAAGAAACAAACAGAGTGAGATTAGAAAAAAAGCTCGACACACATATCTAAGTGAGAAGCCCGGTACCAGAGGACACCATTAAAAAGAAAAACAGAGAGATACATGGGCATGAAGGTGATTAACCAGCTGAGAGCAGTTTCACATGAGAATGAAAAGCAAAAAATAAATAAATAAATTGAATAAATCTAGGTCCCCATGTTTTTGATTTCACAGGGGACTTCTAGAGCAATTTCCAAACATTGACAGTTTGATGTTTCAACAACGAAAGCTCTTTGATGAAGTTATAACCACCCTAACATGCAACACACAGTTTCCATACAGCAAACAAATATGAGTTTAACGTAATACAAACCTTAATAGTGTGGCCGAGTGTTGTTGGATACATATCCTCTTCATCTTGTTTCATAGCAGCTGTACCTCGGAATAGATCAAATTGTGTTCCAGGTGGAAGTAAACCTGAAAAGAGCCAGAAGAAAATAACATACACGGTATACAAAGTCATTATCGGGTTATGTTAGCAAAAACCTAATTCACCTATTATGCAAAGTCACACCGCTGGAATCATTAGAAGTTCTATTAGACACTTGACACAAGATATGGGGAATTTCATCCTTCTTTAACAAATTTAAGCTTTATCTAAAATAGGCATGTTCACGATTGACTGATGCAATATGTAAATTCTCTCAAGACACGCATTTGGACTTGGAGAACAAAAAATTGTTATTAACTGCGGGTAGAAGATGCCTTTCTTATGAATGAACCTTATAGCCTTAGAAGATCCAATATGATCATCTTGTAATAACTGTAGGTAGAAGATGTACTCTCTTAGTTCACAAATATCAAAATATTAAGAGTAAATACTAAACTAAGAATTTGAAGCAGTTAACAGACTAGCAGTAAACCTGAGTTCCTGAGAACCAACAACCACCTCTCCCTGCCCCCCTAAGAGAAAATTGGAAGGCAGAGACTCATTGAGCCCAAAACTCATCTCTCCACAGGATGATCATTTTTTGGTGCGTGAAATACTGGCCAAACTAAACAACTCAACCAACAATTACCATTTTATTTTATATGGAAAATAAAAGGCAATTATCAATTTTGATGTCCTCAAAAATTACAAACGATAGTTTACTCTTCAATAAAGTGAAAATTCTCAGAAGTTACTAACACGTCAATCGAAAATCTAAAGATGAGATTGTATATCTCACCTTGATGCTGCTGCCATTTCAAGGCTTGACCAATCAGAGCCGTTAAACGCGATGGTGGAACAACAGAAACCTCAGCGGAAAGTGCTGCAATGCAACCAAAGAAGATATGTTATAATCTTAAGTGTATCAATACCAAATTATGAATTAAGTATATATAATTGACATTACAGCATTCCAACCATTTCAACCCTGAAATATCATCAACTGCTCAGCCCTATTTAGTAGTGTTGAATTAACGTAATTGTACTTCTTAACCAATTATAAAAACGCGGAGGACCAGTATAATGGCATTGCTATGCAGATACACAGATCTCAGAATATAACATATTAAAAGAACACATAGATTAGACTATAGACGGATCATAGGAGAATTGCAATAAGAAGATGTTAATCTGGTGGGATAAAGTAATAGGAGAGATAGTAAGATGGGCCTTTTTAAGTAGTGGGCCTTAGGAAAAGTACATTTCCCTTTATTTGGCAGGAACTTTAGAGAAACTACTTTCAGGGATTATACTTCAAATCACGTCTCAGGTAATCTTTCAATCCCTATTTGAAGAGTTTAACATGTTAATGGCCTTCGGATTCTTCATGGCACTGTGCATCTATCAAGACAGATTGATAAACTGCTGTTCTCATAAAACTTGCTCTGGTGCTACATGTAGACCAGCATAGAACACATTGCAAATTCCTTCATTATAGATTTTTTTTCAAACTAAATGTTTTATCAATCTAAGCAAAGTGCAATTTTTGGAAACCTTGGGCAATTTGGGCACGTCTTTTCTCCTTGGTTGAATCATTATAAGCCTGCACATATAACATTTGCAGGCAAGGTCAAAAGCAACATCCAGTCAAACCTCAAGTCAAGGGTATCAAGATAACTTCAAGCAGTTAAGAATGTAGTAGACAACCAAGAGAAGAAAGCCAATTCTTTCGCACCGACAGAGATCTAACAGGAGGTTGAACAAAAGTAGAATCAAAGTAAAACACGTATACTTGTCCAGTTGACATAACATACATGTGAATAAGAGGGTGTTTGGATTGGCTTTTAAGCTGGTCAAATCAGCTTTTAAGCTCTTTTTAGCTTTTTTTAGTGTTTGGCAAAGTCAAAAAGTGCTTAAAATAAGGTAAAAATAGCTTAAAACAAGCCAAAAGCAATAAGCTGGGCAATCCCAACTTACTGCTTTTTGGCTTAAAAGCTATTTCTGCTGAAAAGCTACTTTTTTTAAGTCAATCCAAACGGGCTCTAAAACAAACAACAGCACTGAGGATGTTCAAATCACAACTGGCGCAAAAAAAAGGGACACGCATAGCTTAATCATTTATTTTAAAGAATGAATCGAACCTCATGTGGATCAAAGTAAGTCCGAACTAGTAGATGTTCGAGCCGCAAATATCTTTCTGGTTGCTCCTGTTTCATGACACCCATCACATTGGTTTGTCTTAAAATAGCCCGTGCAGTATCCATCTCTCGAAGTTCAATCATCTCCAAAACAATCTATCAGGCAACGGAAAGAGTCAGGAGCAAAAAAGATTGCATTGAACAAAGACAGTAAAAAGGTGATCAAATACTTCAGAGAAAACCAAGAAAGCAAAGCAATATTTGCACTTAATATTTTTCTGCCAAGCTGAAGTTCATCTGAATAAAGAGCAGCGATATGGAACTACAGCAATCAAGAGAAACAAGAAACCAGACAAGAAAAATGCATGTTTTTTGCTTAAACAAGAAAAGAGTACAATAGTAAACCGAAAATCTATTCACTCTCACATCAAACATTTATACAACTCTCAAGCAATTTTTATTCCTCACACACACAACAAACCAAAAATGGAAACAAACAAAAAAACAAGTAAGAGGATAATAAGCATAAAACACACAATCTAAAATGCTTCTTTGAAAGAATGATACGTGCAGACCTGCTCATATAAATCCTCCAGTATCTTTCTCGGAAGCTTTAATTGTGCAACTTGAGGTAGTACTGCATCCCATCTTCCACTATTAATATCGGCTATGAAGGTTTCAAGGCTGTCCACGGTATTAAGAGAAACCTGGCACTCATTTTGCAATGTCTGGAAAGTCTGATGCAGAGAATTCTCCTTGCAGAATTGAAGAACTATCTTAATGACACTGCAAGTAAGAAAGATAACATTATCTCTCACATACAACAATAAGGATAAGATACTCTTATGCTGTTTCAAATTAATATGTCTGCAAAGGTAATATCTTAAATGAGAACAATGCAAAACAGTCTTCTTGGGAAAGCAAAATGGTCCTAACAGCAAATGTCTCAACTTACTTATCAAAAAAAAAAAAAAAAAAGAGGGCGCAACTAGTTAGAACTGCTACTTATACATGCAACACTTAAAGAACAGCATTTATCCAGTAATGTGCGCAAAAAAAAAAGGGTTGGGTAAACGCAACGGCCGCTGCAAGAATCTTCTTGTAACACAAGGTGCTACATAACAAAATTTTTGCTTATCCTGACTAACATTAAGGTAAAAGTACATCACAAATGCTGCAAGAAGTCTTCTTTATTATACACGGTGCCTTGCTTAACCTCACCAAAAGCAAAGCAAAATTGCAGCTTTAATAGTAGTACCCTCTATATTACTTTGCCTAAGATATATCCTAATCAGTATCTCTATCTCACACACATTATAAATCAGTCAACTACACCTCAACCACTTGGGCCGACTACATGAATCCTCTGTATCCATTCCACTAATCTTTTCTGAGAAGATTAAAGTACAGGGCACTATTATTAAAGCTGCAATTTTTATTTTTGGTCAGAATAAGCAAATTTCTATAGTCATGGGGCAACATGTGTAACAAATAAGACTTCTATATCACATTACTCTCTTATATATAAAAAATACCCATTCAGCTCTATTAGGACTCATTTCAAATTCTAAAATTCATGCATAATATTTATGATGCAAACACATATAAAAAAACAGAGAATTAGAAGCTTACTCTCGAGCTTCGATTTCGAGTGTAGAAGACATGGTTATGGGTGAGAGCCCTAGTGAAGTCCTGATTAGGAGGTAAAATCACGAACAAATACAAATACTACATACACAGAGAGAAAGATGTAAGGGTTTTGCTTATGAACTGATGAAAATCGCAGGAACTGTTGGTCAGTTCTCCACATTCTCATTCGTGGGCCTAGTAGATGGGCAGAAATGTTCACCTATTACAGAAGGCCTTTTTACCTTTGGGCCATATATTGGATTGGAGACTAGTAAACGGGTGAAATTCAAAAATAGCCAGATTTAGAACTGGTCTTTCAAAAATAGCCCAGTTTTAAAAGTAATTGAAATTTAGCCACTTTTCATGTAAAGATAAATCTGAGCGAAAACACTGTTCAAAACCCAGAAAATACGCCAGTATATTATGCTGGAGTTCTAGCATAAGTATACTTAAACTCTGGCATATTATGCCGGAGTTCCAAGATAAGTATGCTGGAACTCCAGCATAATATGATGGAGTTCCAGCATAAGTATACTACTCCAGTATAATATACTGGTGTTCCAGCAAGTATACCGGTCCAGCATAATATACTGGAGTTTGGAGCACCGGTGCTCCAGTATATTATACTGGAGCCAGCAAAGTATACCGGTCCAGCATAATATGCTGGAGTTCATACACAGGTGCACCGAACTCCAGTATATTATGCTGGACAGGTCTCTGCTGTAGCAAAATAGTGGCTATTTTTCATTGACTTGGTAAACGCTGGCTATTTTTGAATGACCAGTCTAAAAACCGGCTATACCGTGCTATTTTATCCTAGTAAACGTAAAAATTAGCTCGGATGGCCAGTTTTTGGGATAAAAAATTGTAGAAATATGACACTTTTTGGGTGGTCTTTAAGTTTTGAGCCCCATTTGCCACGCAAGCAGAACTTCAAGGTTAAAAGTTATAATTATTGTCCATGGGGCAAGCGAAGGGCAACACTTGTCAAATTTGAAGTTCTGGACAAGCGGGGACAAAAATTCAATATAATCTACTTTTGAGGGTTATTTGTGTATTTCACCACTTGTTAATATTCACCACTATTTGAAATTTAATCAAAAAATAAAGTACTTTTAAAGATGAAATTATAATTTGAAAAAAATATCCTCACTAAAATAGGAAACTCCGACAAAACACTAGAATTAGGGAAGGCAGTGGTGCGGGGCAGGGCAGGTTTCAGTGGCCGCGGGGCGGGCGGGTTACAACATTTGCGGGACAGTGCGGGTTCTATTTTAAAAAAAAAAAAAAATACTGCGGGGCGGGGCGCGGGTTAGGATTAAAATTTTTTGAAAACCTAAAACGATATTCTCTCCTCAAAACTAAAACCTAAAAGTCTAAACCCAATTCAAAAACGCCCTAATTTCTCAGAGGATTTCTCCACAAGTCACGCACAATCTCAAAGTCTCTCACAATCTCGTTCTCTGTGTTCTTTTGCATGTTACGTTATTTTGGAATTACCATGTGTATAGCTACTTTTATAATCGCTAAGCAAAGTTATCTACCAACAAAATCTTCACCAATTGAAGCACATTTCAACTCTACGCACGCTTAAAAAATTGGGCTTCCACAAAAACCAGTAACAATTAACAAATGGAGCAACACATAATTAGGCACAGATTTAAAACTAGTTGGCCATAATCATTTTACAGTATTTACGTTCTTGCGTTAAAATTTCTCTAAAAAGAAGAATATAATACATTGAAATGTGATATCTTTTGATATTTTTCCCAAATTAAAAAAAATATGCGGGGCGGGGCGGTTAAAAACAACAAATTTTGTTTTGCGGGGCGGGGCGGGTTGGAATCTTCGCGGGTGTGCGCGGGTTTGCCCCGCAACCGCACCACCCCGCACCGTTTGCCATCCCTAACCATGGAATTCTAAGCTTTGACAAATGAAACTCGATCACAATATCTTGGAGTTCGAAAAATTCCTAAAGTTCAAATGTCCAGTTCAAACTCCCGAACTTTCAAACTCCAAGCAAAATTTCTGGAAATTTTTCGTATTTGCATTTTTTGTTCAAATTTTATTTTTGCATCAAAAAGCGGCTAAATATTTAATAAATTTAAAATAACAATATCAATTAGCGGTCCAAAAAAAGTGGCTATTTACCCTTTTTTCCATGTGGGGAAGATTAAAAGTCGGGAGGCCTACTCATTCACGACATAGCTTAATTTTTTTATTTCGAAATAAAGACAAGAAAATACAGTCTAAAATCTCTCTGTCTCTCTTGCTAGTTGCTTAGTATGTATAAAAGAAGAGGAGGATAGGAATACAGATGCAATGAACTTTATCTAGCCATATACATAGATTATATATTAATTATACATATATAATATATAAATTATACATATATTATACCTCAATCAACTATTTTTAGTTTAAGCGGTTGAGTGAGCGGCTATTTGGGTTAATCCTTCCTTACTTACTTTTGCATCGGATCACTTTCATTACTCCGTAGAAGACATATGAAGTACTTTAATCTTTACACTCCTATATATTCCCATAGAGAGCTAGTAAACATTTTTAAGTTTTCAAACCTTCTTCTTTTTTCTTTTTTCTTTTTTTTTTTTTGGTTGCAAATTTTAATACGTTGTTTAATGCAAAACCTTGTAAAGTTAACCAATGTTCTGAGATGTATTTGTATCATAAGTAGTTGTTGTGCAAGAAGACTATTATGATAAGGTACCCTAAGTCATGGTGTCACCATCAAAAAATCGACTAACGATCCCAATCTTCGTTGAGCAAACTTTTAATCCAAAAAATATGGGCGTAAAAGTTGGAATGATAATGCAGAAAACCCTATCAATTACGACACAAGAAATAGTAAAACATACATTCTTATAAAATAAGATTCATTCACATATGAAGCAATGAAACTTGTTCAAAGACAAGTGAAAAAGACGGGCAAATATACTTGTACATTTAACGAAAGTATATATATATATATAACCGTACGAGAAAAGTGTTGTTAATATTAATGCGTTACTAGATTTGCCTTGTTGCCTTATTGCTTCTGCGTAGGTTCTTTGATTTAGTACTTTGTTTCTATTTATTTGTCCTATTTGTAATGATAAGATTTACTTGATTAAATTTATACTCTTTATTTTTGCTTTCATCTTTCATTACATTGATCTTCCTTCAATAAATACTCACTCTAGGGTAAAGGTTGAAGAAAGTATCATTAATTCTTCCTTGATTTCTAATATAACAGATATTTTGGGAAAGTTAATTACTTTTAACAAATATGACAAGTAAAATAGGAAATCATAAGATGCTCACGTGACTGTGTAAGAGAATATCTTGTATACTCTGTACAAGATTACAAGTTTAAATGTGTACCCGAAAAGATTAAAAATACCGGCAAAATCAAAGTGTGCAAGAGCTTTTTTTGTTAGTTAGAAGAAGCATATATTATACATTCACTACAAATAATAAGTTAAATTGTGGAGGCTTATTTATGGGGTTATAAAAACTTCAACTATAAAATCATTTTATGGCATTTCTTTTAACTCCCACTATATAATTCTTTTTGTGGCGGTTTTATTGCGGAGGTTTTTGATAACCTTCGCAAATTGCAAGAAATAGTGGAGGTTTGCAAAACATCACAATTTACTATAATTTGTGGCGGTTAATAACCCTTACAATTTCGGATACAACCAAAAACTTAAACTATATAGAAACATATAAGAGGGTATGTGTTTTAGGATAGATAGAAGTAATGAAGGCCGAATACATGCACTATAATTTTAGTCAACATAAGTAGAGCAAAGTTGAATTGATACAAAATATGATGACCCGATAGGTTATCTTATAATTTAAAATCAAATTTTATGTTCCGAGGCTTTTAAAAGCTCATTTTATTCCTCCTTGATTTACGTGCGCTGTCCGGGCGTGTTTTCGAAAAGCTTTTACGTTAAAAGTTGATGAAAATAATAATTTTTGCCTTTAAAAGTTGATTTAGTTGACTTCGGTCAACGTTTTGGGTAAACGGACTTGGACTCGTGTTTTGACTGTCCCGTGGGTCCGTATCGAAATATGGGACCTGGGTGTATGCCCGGAATCAGATTCGAAGGTCCCTAGCCCGAGTTATGAATTTTTATTAAAAATTGTAAGTCTGAAAATTTAATGATTTTTAAGAGATTGTTAATGCTTGATCTTGTTGGTATCGGATTCATATTTTGGCGGAGCCCGGTACATGTTCAATAACATATTTTAGTCATGTCTGTGAAATTTGGTAAGAAACGAAGTTATTTTGACGTGATTCGGGCTTCCGGCTGTGAAATTAGGAATTTTGAAGTGTTCTTGGGAAATTCATGTGATTTTGTGCTAAATTCGTAGTTTTATGTGTTATTTTGGCGATTTGATCGTGCGAGCAAGTTCGTATGATGTTTTAAGACTTGTGTGCATGTTTGTTTTAGAGCCCCAAGGGTTCGGGTGAGTTTCGGATAGGCTACGAAGTAGTTTGAACTTGGAAAGATTTGCAAATATAATTGATCTTGTTGCAGGCCTCTGATCTTGCATTCGCGAGATCAGGCATTGCAATTGCGAACTCTGCAGGTTCTGCATTTGCGAGCTTCTCATCGCAAATGTGAAGAGTAGATGGGTCAGGCAGTCCTCACAATTGCGAGGGATTCTTCGCATTTGCGAAGTAACGTTGGGAGGGGCACTGATCGCAAATGCAATCTTTCAGTCGCATTTGCGGAGATTCAGGTTCGCAATTGCGAACTGATCTTCGCAATTGTGAAAGCAGCAGAGGTGTGAAGGACCTCACATTTGTGATGGTCCCTTCACATTTGAGAAGCCCAGATCGCAAATGCGACATCTGCAGCTGTGTAAAAGGGAGTTAGACGGGATTTTTCATCCATTCTTCAAATTTTCACAACCTAAAACACAAGAGGCGATTTTCCAAAGACTATTTCTTCCCCAAATCATAGGTAAGTGATTCTTAACTAGTTTCTTTCAATCATTCACTTTATTTTACAAAATTTTAACCTAGAATCTAAGATTTTCATGGTGGAATTAGGGATATTTGGGTAGAAATTAGGAATTTGAAAATTTGGGGATTTAGACCTCAAATTGAGGTCGGATTTCAAAACCAATTGTATATCCGGGCTCGGGGGTGAATGGGTAATCAGGTTTTGGTCCGAATTTCGGTTTGGA